AGTATTCATAGCGTTATAAGCGTTGATTTCCAAATTTAAATTATGTTTAACCAAAAGAATTCTTCATGACTTTAGTTTTTCTTGTACCCTTTGCAGTGTTATACTGTCAGTATGTATGAAAATATATGCATTAGCAAACGACAAAATCGGGTGACTTGCTGATTACATTTTTTGTTGTTGTTTGTTATACTTACTGTAAATGTTTAATAATTTCTACTAAGAATTTGTACCTAGTTTTCTAACTTCCGTATGCCAAGTTACGTGTATTTAATTTACAGATTTTCTGCGATTTATTTTCAATTTAACTTCAGTATCTGCAATTTAAAATCCAATTTAAGCTAGATATTTACATGTTCAACTGTATTGTCTTTTTTCTTGTAGCCTTATATGCTGCTGATGTGAGTTACTATATTATATTGACCTGTTTTATTTATTTCTAGCGTCACTGTTATTTTGTTTACATGTGTTTACTGCTAGTTGTTTATTCTACTGTTATTTAATTCCTTGCATATTTAATCTTCATTTTCTTATTCTCGTCCTCTGTTATTTTGTTAAAATACTATATTCTATTGTAGAAATTTGAGTCGAGATGTGTTTGTGGGTCCCTGTCAACCTTTTCTGTAGTACTACAATTTATAGACACCAACAAATTTGGTATTACAGCTTTTTAAATATTTGTATTTTGTGGTGCCGATATATGCTGAACGCTCTATTGGTGTAACTGCCTACAAATTATTCAAAACAGCCTAGACACATTCTGTCAGCATTACGTTCTAAATAACATTGCCGTGTGCTCTGACACACGCATTGTTTCTATATTAGCTGTATATTTGTGTTTACATTTTGATGATCTTACAAAATCCTCAAATACAATCTTCATGTCACAGCTAAAGATCACGTACAGTGTAATTACAGGAAACAATTCTGAAGATTGAAGTGACTTCAATCTAAGAATGAAAGAGTTTTGTATATTTATTTGCTTTTTTCAGGGACCGGAGCGAATAAGTTTCACTTATGAACAGTTTTGTTTCATTCCATTTATTATGAGACCGCACACTAGATAAACATAAAATATTGATTTATTTTAACCCCTATATCTTAGTGTTGTGGTCACCTCTAATTTCAAAAATCAGCAGCTAAGAGACTCAATCATGACTGAATTATCCATAGTTTCTCAGTCTTTTCAGAACAGTGCATTACTATTACATTCAGATTGGACATCAGTGTATAAGACTAGTTGCACTAGTTAGCTTATATGATTCTAGGACAGTCAGGGGGCAGGATATTCTGACTGACGTATCTCATGATTTTCTGAATTATCTCAAAATATTTTTCAGGATAATATGAAAACAGGCCACGGCCGCTTCCTTCCACATTCTTCTCGATTGCAGTCATCAGAACATATCCGTTTCGACACAACACCAAATCAAAGAAATTAAGTCTGTGCGAACTTCCAGTGTGCGTTAAGCCTTTACAAAATTTAGTGGATAAATTTTATTCTCCCCTGCAGTATCTAAACTCTGCAGAATAAAGCAAAGGCCTGAAATTGAATCACAGCCTGACGGCCTTACGTAGTTCCAGCATTTTGATGTTTGTTTGTTATGATGAACTCTTAGTACTTCCAACGAAGCCCGTTCCCAATTAGTTACAGTTTTAATAGGGGGAGAGATATTGTTATGATGGCGTTATTACAGAGACCAATTTGCAAAGTTAGCAGAAATTTACCATAATGATGCGGTGAGGCGTACTGCTACAGAGCAGAGTCCCGTCTGTCGCTTACCGCAGATGAAGCCTGAAAGGGGGGGGGGGAATCCAGAAACAATAAAATTGTTAACCCTGGAGGACAACAAAGCTCGGGGTGAGAGAAATCTGGGGAATGGATTATACATCTCGGAAATGAACGTTTCCGCCATGACACATGTTCCAGTGCGACACTAAGCGGCTGCTTCACTGCGATCCTGAACACATGCACCAGCTTATAGACACTGCGGTTGGAAATTTACACATCGTCTGACCCGAATGTGTTCATTCGTGAAATGAATCCTTTCAACCATGTTACTGGCAATGCCTAAAATATAAAGCATCTTCTTGCATGACTGAAACGTGTATTCTGTCGCTCCAAAATGGATACCAGGACTCACGTTCTTTTTTGGATTACATAATTTAATTGAATAAAAATTTACTTGGATATTATCCATCGTATCCAAGTAAATTTTTATTCAATTAAATTATGTAATCCAAAAAAGAACGTGAGTCCTGGTATCCATTTTGGAGCGACAGAATACACGTTTCAGTCATGCAAGAAGATGCTTTATATTTTAGGCATTGCCAGTAACATGGTTGAAAGGATTCATTTCACGAATGAACACATTCGGGTCAGACGATGTGTAAATTTCCAACCGCAGTGTCTATAAGCTGGTGCATGTGTTCAGGATCGCAGTGAAGCAGCCGCTTAGTGTCGCACTGGAACATGTGTCATGGCGGAAACGTTCATTTCCGAGATGTATAATCCATTCCCCAGATTTCTCTCACCCCGAGCTTTGTTGTCCTCCAGGGTTAACAATTTTATTGTTTCTGGATTCCCCCCCCCCCTTTCAGGCTTCATCTGCGGTAAGCGACAGACGGGACTCTGCTCTGTAGCAGTACGCCTCACCGCATCATTATGGTAAATTTCTGCTAACTTTGCAAATTGGTCTCTGTAATAACGCCATCATAACAATATCTCTCCCCCTATTAAAACTGTAACTAATTGGGAACGGGCTTCGTTGGAAGTACTAAGAGTTCATCATAACAAACAAACATCAAAATGCTGGAACTACGTAAGGCCGTCAGGCTGTGATTCAATTTCAGGCCTTTGCTTTATTCTGCAGAGTTTAGATACTGCAGGGGAGAATAAAATTTATCCACTAAATTTTGTAAAGGCTTAACGCACACTGGAAGTTCGCACAGACTTAATTTCTTTGATTTGGTGTTGTGTCGAAACGGATATGTTCTGATGACTGCAATCGAGAAGAATGTGGAAGGAAGCGGCCGTGGCCTGTTTTCATATTATCCTGAAAAATATTTTGAGATAATTCAGAAAATCATGAGATACGTCAGTCAGAATATCCTGCCCCCTGACTGTCCTAGAATCATATTTCTTCTTTATGGAAGTCAGACACGGAGAATATGTGAAGTAACGGATACAGCATCGCTAAACCAGCAGTACGTGAATGTTCTCACTCTATCCAGGCACATGATCAGATAGTGCATTATATTTGTCACGACCACCTACTCTTAAATTCCTACCTATTTATAATTTATGACCATTGTGGGTCTCGCCCACAACTGAGGGCAGCTCAGCTCAACAAATGCGTGGTCCAGCCTCAGTCTTCCCTCCCCCTTTTACGTGATGCAAGAAAGTAGAATATAGTTTTAGAAAGGTTGTGACTTTGTAGTTTTATAATGTAGACGATGGACAAAATCCAAACAACAATTTTACACATTATAACGCACCCTCGTCTAAAACATTCAAACTTCGACGTTTCTAATTTATTATTAACGGTGCTGCTATAATATGACTCCTTATAATCTGAGCTCCTGACAGCCTCATTAAATAAGTCGCAAGTATTACCTTCTCTTCTTCTTATTTGCCTTAAACGTGATTCCTCTTGGAGGGGTCTGCTAATAATGCTTGTCCGAGCATCCTCGATTCGGCTAACATTAGGCTCTGTAGATGTAAAAGTCCCTTATAGTATTATATTCCTCTTAGTATTTTGCTTGCAAAAGTTTATAGTTTGCCCCATTACAAAGCGATTGAATTATAGCTCCGACTTTTCAAAATGAAATCATAACCCTTGTTGATATCTTTGTAGACTTAAACGTATAATTTAATTTAATTGCATCTGCTGCTTTAAAAGACAAAATAATTATTCGATATAAATGGCTGAACATTTATAAAGTTATTAAAATTATAGCTAATGGAGCAGAACAGCTGACACTTAAAGCAAAAGGGATAAATTACTTCGGATAGATGGCAATAAGTTTGAATAAATTAAGGTAGAAGTTAAGTATCAAGAAAGGAAATGCAGAGTTGAAAGAAAATATTCCCTAACTCGCATAACTCCAATTTAGAAATAATTTTACAATTATTTTTAAAGTATGTTGGGATTTTTTTTTTTAGTTTCGTTTGTAGTCTTTATTTTTAAAAATTCAATGGCGGCATTTTGGAATTTTGCTAGAGATAGACCTATGCAATTAAGAACATTGCAATGACTGTACATGTTTTGTATTCCGGAGGCCCCGTGTTTAAACCTCTGGCCGGAAATCTGTTCTGTTATCCTTTCTCAGAATCGTCATAGTTTCTCTGAATCCGTCGCAGAGAATGCCACAACTTCCTTCTTTGATATGTTTACTTACCCTTCATATTTCATTTCATTCGACGACATATAAACTTTGAAGCTGAAAAATTGTATTCAAATAACTCCAGAATCAGTTTGCAGTGGCAATAAGAAAGTATCGATTGTTCATGTTTGTGAGTTGGAAGAACGTAATAACTTGCAATGCTGTGAGATGACAGTTTGTTGGAAAATATATGTTTGTAAAAATATCATACCTTTGGGGAATATTTTATTTGTAAATTTTATATAAACTTTAAACAATACAGAGGACGTATAATATACGTTGACAGCTTCTTTGTTTCTTTACACGTAGCATTTGTGTAGTGACGTGCTACAAGTGCATTAATAAAGTTTTATACGAAAACATTCATATATTTTTTGTTATTGAGTGTACAGTGAAAAATCATAAAATCCTTCAAAAGTCGTATAAATTCTATTCCCTATGTGCTAATCGACTGAATTTAGTGTAAACAGCTACAAATATAATTCCGGTCAGCAGATTTCCGTGAAACGAAATCATTTGGTAATTTGTTTTGCATAATCCATAAGCACCGTAAAAACACTAACACAGCGATGAGAGTTTTACTGCGTGTTTAATCACTGATTATCTGTTGTTCACAGAAAGATGCCCCCAGTCTGCAAGGTACAGCCGTTAGGAACAACTTCATGTAAGTTTAATGCAATTGCAGCTGTGCTATTTTCTCTAGAGTCTTCTCATCGAAGATACGAAGGGTTAAAGCATGTTAATAATTAATATAGAATGCGGTCTTGCCTAATTTATCATTAAAATGAAGCCACGTAACTGTGAGTAGCCCAGATATTCCTGCGGGAACCACGTTACATGGTACCTAAACACTTTTTGTATATTTATTATAATTTGACTTAATATAGTAACTTACGTTCTGGGAAATTTAATTTCATGGAGGATAGTCATTCCTTAGAAAACCGTAGTCTTTAACCAGGTTCAAGAAATTTTCATCCTATTATAGATCCCAAAGATTTGTTATCGTGGTCACAAGGCCCGCAACTGGACATTATCTGAACCCGTTAGAACGCAGTCCACACAATCACACCCCATTTTTTCTCATTAATGTTGATATTAACCTCCCCTGTACTCATAGGTATCTTAAGCAGTTCTTGTCCGCAGGTTTTTCATGTAACTTTTTTCTTAATTTCATCTTCCCGATACGTACTCGCGTCACGTGTTTCTCTCATCTGATCCTTCTCTATTTGGTCATCGTAGTAGTATCTGGTGGAGAGCTAATATTATGAAGATTCTAATTCTGTAATTTCCTCCATTCTTCCGTCAGATCCTCACTCCTAACCCTAAAAGTTCTCCTCAGTACTCCGTTCACAAACAGCCTTAATTTATATACTTTCTCGCATAAGGTGAGAGACAAGTCTCCACCCATATAGGATTATAATGTAGTACATCCGCTTATTAAAACCACATGACAAGCCACCTGTTATGAACATGGAATTTCCTGTTTGATAACCCCTGAGTAACATTCGGCTATTCATCTGTTTCGTTTTGTGCGACAACAAAGCCCTAGGACGTCAAACTGCGCGTAATAGATTATGTCAGGAAGCCATACCCAAGACCTTCTCCGTGTACTCTGTGTTCCTGTAGCAGAAAATTCTCATTATAAAACCAGAAAAGTGGTGCTGCATATCTTCCGGTAATCAAATTAGTAGCCTATCTCTGAATACTATTGCCCGTGTAAATGCTTGATACAATTTCTCATCGAACCCAATTAGAGAACCTGATGTGTGTGTCCATACGTTATTCCCCTCGGTTAAGGTTTAATATTAGTATTAAAGATAAAAATTGTCCATTTTATTAAATTCTGTATTAAAATCACAACACTGTATACATCCTCATCCTTATATGATTTGCAGTAATGTCTTACAAAAAGCAAATAACGCATTTATAAATCACAGTTGTGGATTAAACATTTCCTGTCTTGTTTCTGCCATTCATAAAACAAAATAATCGAACGGTCCTACAGCGGAAAGAGCATTTACACAGGGAAGAGAAATGTGAACAATTAACCTTCTGTAGCTCTTAGATTGCGACAGTGCAAAGGTCGAAGTTGTTATTTTTATTCAGCACGCTGAACTCTGTTTCATCTAGATTTCGTTCAGTGCTCAATGTACAAACGTCATTTGGTCAGTCCTCGGGAAAGAAATAAATGAATGAATGCGTGTGTTGAGAATAAGAAGACGAGTGAAAAAGTGCAATTTAAATTTTCGCGCATTTTCCAAACGCATTCTTCATGATTTTTCATATCTAATTGATAGTGATGATTATTTCTTGACGAATAAAATACGTTATTTCAGATATAAATTCAATTCAATTCAATTCTATTCTATGCTATTATAAAGCAAAGTGTAATATATTTTCACATTTTATGCGATTTGCAAAAATAAATTTTATTTCCACTGCTCACACTTTGAATTAATGGTTGATATTCAAATGGATTACAGAAGAACACGAATTTAAATAATTTTATGCTATATTTAGTGCATTCCAGGAATGCAAGCAACTTTTCTTGCAATTATATGTTTTGTATTACATATATTCAATTATAATATCAATGACATTATGTAATATATTTTTAAGCTAGAATATGAACATAGAGGGTATCTGAAACATTGAAAAATTATTTTGTATTTGCACGGCTTATCGCCCAGAAGACTTCATTACATAAAGTTGCCTTTCCTTTGTTGTGGCTAGGCAAGATTTCTTCGAACACTTTCGTGTTCCATGAAGCTTTATCATGAGATACTTAGTAAACTTTTTACATGTTCGTCACTTTTTAATTAAGCAAGAGCAGTTTTATAAGTTCCTCCTCTTGTTTCACAGTCATCTAAATCATTTGGTTAGTTTACTGACTCGAAGTTTGCTGCAGGTATTATTCAGGTTCAGATACTTTCTGAACGCATTCAGTGAGCCCATCATTATTTAACTAAACGTTACAAAGAAATCCAAGATAGTAAAAGGAATATATTTAAAAGCGTCAATTGAAAACTGAAATATAGTGTTAAACACTTGTATATAAAATATGCAGCAAATTATAACGGTAATTAATAACTTTTTAAGTTACGTAAAACTTAATTTTAATCATTATATACATTTGTTAAATATCGCTTTAAAGTAAGTGTATCAAAATAATTTAGTATCTAAAACACCCTGCAATTCTTGCGAATAATGTTAAAACTAGTATGCATTTTATTTTTAATCGTTTTGCTTGATCTGGGGATAAGGAAAGTGTTATTAAACGTACTCATAACATAATAATTCTGGCTCGTTCGAAAGAATTTGACCCTAGACCTTTGAGAATGGCTTAAGTGATATGTATAGCTGGAGATTACTCAGATAACCTGGAGATTCTCCACCATTTCACCTCCAAGTCCATTATTATTGTTAAACTTGAACCAAAATTAGACAACTTTCCAGAGACTTTAGTAAAACCTCCCAATATTAAGTTTAATGTATGTCCGCTGGTCGTTCCCCGATTTTCACATGTTGACAGATGGACAGACGTATAAAGTAAAGATACAGACACATTATTTGGAACTTCTGTTGTAAACCCGCTTAAAAATTTAAGCATGTCAAGGTACACAATTCCGGTCATAGTACAAGGACTGATGTTTGAATGATCATATTCTGTGGCAGTGGCTTGGTCGTGGAGGTCAGAATACCTACCCTGATTTTATACCAGCGAACTTCTTTTTTAAGCGGTTTGTCAGTGAGAAAGGCTTCCGCCCATCATCCTTAATTCATGAGAACACGCTGAAGAAAGCTTTCACTGAATCCATTACAGACGTCATACTTGTCATGTTGTGACGTAAGTGGTAAGACGTTGATCGCCAATGAGACGTCTGCAACATCAAATTAAACGTTTCTGTATTCACTATAAATGTTTATATATCTTTAAATTCGCAAGGCCGCTGCTTTGTATTCGTTCTTTGTAATACGGCCAGCAGCAGAGCGAACTTAAAATAATGCAGTACTGAAGCAAAAATATAAACTTTCTGTCTTCAAATCTTCTTTAACTTATGAAATTGTTATGGGGTTTGCCCCTGCTCGCTTCTCTTGCCAGCCCCGCTGGGGGCCTACTATCTCTCTTCTTTACATCCATTTCCTTTAATCTCTTCATTTTAGGAATTTAAGAGAAGAAAAATGAAGTTACTAAACACCCGTTATGACGTCGAGTTCCCCTGTCAGGAACTTTAGAACGTAGGTTTGTTGTAATCGTTGTGAGTTATTGGGAGTTGAGGTCAGTGGAATGTTATTGGGATTGAACCAGCTGGCGGTAACACATTTATCCTTGGAAAATATTCCATAATGAAAAGAGATGAGATCACTTCGGATATTTAGACATCCAAGGTGAGGATCATATTCAAATGTTCCACGTCTTAAAGATATTTGGCGTGATCAGTGGGCTGTTTGATCTGGCCGAGTATTTGTCAGTGTTACTGTAGCCGGTTCTTCTGCTCGGAGTAATGAACCTTTAGGTTCCGTACAAGATAACGAAATTCTTGGACATGGCAGCCTTCTGGGATGTTTCGCCGTGCAGTCTTGTAGAAGTTGACCGATGTTTCAGAAGTGCTTACTGCGCCATCCTGCTCGGTGCTAATGTACTAAAAGTTCGCTGCCTTGAGAACCTAAAATCTCTGCCGAAATTCTTGGTCATTTGAGGGACTGCCGTTTTATAATGAAGGACTTACTCCGTTTTGTTATTATTTCGCCTGGAGATTAAGTAATTAATAAACTGGACTGTCTTATAATTCGGACAAATTAAGGAAATGTGTGAACGGGAGAAATGAGGAAATGAGAAACGGAAGAAATGGATAACGAAAAGAAACAAAGGGTATGAGGGATAAAGAAAGGCAAGAAATCATTCCCGATTTAACTTGAGCGATATTTTAGACTAGTGTGCTATTTACTGTCACTTATTGTTTAACGGTTTCGCCGTGAAGTTAGGCAACTTCGCCGATACGTGCGTATAGCACGCAGTCTGTATGAGAAACTGAAGGCGATAACCACATACGTTCTAAACCTCGCTGTTGAACAACGATCCGCAGCTTCCATAATATTTTCGTGCCTGCCACTTTCTGTTACGTCGCTCACAATGGTCTGACGTCACACATCAAACACAATCCTAATAGCATGTGAGCTGGAAACTTATATACAAAGGAAAAAATATATGTTTGAGAAAAATTAAAAAGATAAATGGAATCAGTTGACAGCATAAAACGTTCTTTAAATCTGCGTATCTAATGCTACCGGCCCCATACGTCTGCATGGCGTGGTGCTTAATAAGTAGCAGCGAAAATTTACTTTTTGCTATTACCTTCATTCCAAAAACATAAATAATAATGTCCTCGATAGAAGACCTTTCAGACACCTGGAATAAGATTGCTTTATAACCTGCGTATCTCTTACTAATATTTTGCTTACATTTCGTATTGCAAATTTATCATTAATAAAGTTTTCAAGTTTGATCCACAAAATCCTAACAGACTGTCGCTTGAGTCACCTTAACACGAACTGGCAAACCACTCTGATGGAGAAGGCCGTACGAAAGCTGGAGGCGGTTAGCTGCCAATGTCAACAGCCAAAATCTCAGTCCGGATTACCCGTGAAACCAATTATACCTAC